CGCTCAGCAGGACGCTCAGCTGTGCACCAAGGGCAGTTTCTGAGGCTTGGGAGGACCTTTCCCGTTGGAGCGGTGGCGGGAGAGTGGGCTTCTTGGCCCCGTTGCTGCCACTGGGTCTCGGACAGGTGGCCCCCTCATTCATTCCGCAGATGCTCGGGCCTTTGTCTCCCAGGCCCTCTTCCAAGGGCTGGGGATGCGGACGCGGGGAGGGCAAGGTCCCGGGGAAGGCAGAGGGGGACCCCGTGAAGGAGGCACACCTCACACCTGCAGACCATGGGAAGTGCTGGGACAGAAACCAGAGGGTGATGGGAAAAAGGACAACGTCGGTGGGTCGTGATGGGGGACGTGTAGGAGGCGTTGGCAGGATACCCGGCCTCTCTGACTGCTGTTTGGTCACGTCCTCCTAGGACGTGACTCCTAAGGTCCCTTTTGGATTTGACACCCTCTGCCTCTACGACTCTGAGTTTTTAGAAGGTAATCGGGGCAGGATTGGTTAAGGGACTAGTTGAGATGGGCCCCCCACTGGGGATGGCTGGATTCCAGCAGGATATGACACTGCTCGTGCGTGTGTCTGAGGAGAGGACACAGTGTGGCCAGGAGACTGGTGGGGGATACGAGAAGGGGTGGGCAGGGTGGCAGAATAGAAGCCAGGCTGCGTTTGGACCTGGAAGGAGTGAGTTAGCACAGATGCAGGCAGGGGGGTTTGGACCTGCCTTATGCGGGTCCTTTGTCCTTTTCTGGGACAGGAGGGGCTTCCTCCCGAATCCCACATGGTCTTTGCTGTGGGCTGGGGCTCTCCGAGTGGTCTTCAGAGAGAAGAGGAGCGCCGGGAAGGCAGAGTCTAGGGACCTTTACATGGTGCCCCTTTATGGGGGCCCTTGTCCTTTTGCGCCGGGAAAACGTGACCCTGTGGCCTTTGCCCATGGCCTTGCCTGCACTGGTCAGTCAGTAGGGTTTTAACAGCCCTGTGACACAACATTCTGCTATTCTCTTCTGAAGAGTGTTGAATTTTGTTCTTCATGATGGTTAACGTGGCTGGTCTTAAATCCTCAATCTGCCGCTCCTGGGGTGGGCCCCTGCCCCCTTCTCCTGGGCTCCTTGGAATCTGCTTCGCAAGTGTATAGTTTGGACGTCGTCTACGGGCCTGGGTGGGGTTGACACGATTTGGGAGCCCCCTCTACGACCCCCTTCTGCTGGGGATTTCTGCCCCCCACCGTCCGGTTCCTCAGGCTATTGCAACTCTGGTGTCCGGACCCCCCAGGCTGTCTGACTGGGTCTCTGGGCCTGACCTCCAGCTCCCTGGCCCCGTGTTTGCACTTTGTACCACTGGGTGGGAGACAGCACAAACTAAGCGTCACTGAGGGCAGTGGCCTTCTTTCAGGGATGATTCCCTGCTAAGCCCTGCCTGTTCTTGTCCAGTGCCTTCAAAGTTATTTTTATTATTTCAACCAACAGACTTGATGTTTTAGGGTTACAGAAAAATTGGGTGGCAAGGACAGAATTCCCATATATCCCTACTGTTCCCCACCCCCCCACCCCCAGCCGTCCCCATACACACATAGCTTCCCCTGTTAGCACCTTGCATCGGGTGGTGCGTTTGTTATGACTGAGTCAATATCGATTCGTTATTGTTAACTAGTGTCCCAGTTTATATTACGGTTCACTCTTTGTACATTCTCTGCAAAGTTGTTTTTTTTTTAAATAATCTTTTCCAGACTTCCTATTTATTGCTTGTTGGAGGCCTAGTCCGGTGATATAGTTCCTCCAACATTATCAGAAGCAGAATCATCTGATACATTTTTTTATTTTTATAAATATTTTTGACTCCTATATCTATCTATCTATCTATCTATCTATCTATCTATCTATCTATCTATCTATCTATCTATCTATCTATCTATCGTTCTGTCTGTCTGTCTGTCTTTCTGTCTTTCTCCTTTTTTTGCGGGGGGGGGGTTGGTCTCTGGAAACAGTTGACGGAAACCTTGTAAATAAAGGGAGTTCCTGAGGAACGTGATGGCAGAAAGTCTAGCAAGTTCCATGGGTGACTGTTAAGTCTTGCTGCCTTTTAGCCTTGCGATTCATGCACGTCACCGGGAGACATGGTTACGGTGCAGTTTATCAGTGTCTCCAGGAGTTCATCTCTGGGAAGCGGAAGCAAGAAAATGAAAGTGATTTCATGAGGTATTAATCTAGCATGACGTTGAGGTTGTCTAGAAGCTTCAAAAGAAAAAAATACCTGAAGTCCGTCTGATTAACCTCATTTGCAGCTAACTCCTCCTTATCTGGAGGATGAAGCCGCAGATAAATTGGACACAGGTCATTTGTATCTTGAGTACCGCTGCAATTTGAATCTTCCTTCTAGTTTTCTTTTTCTTGTGCTAATGAAAAAGAAGTAGGCCTGGATATTTTAAAACGCCGTTATTCTCCCCTTAAGCTCTGTGGTAGGTGTTCTTCTGAATAGGAGCCCTAGGAGATGCCTCACTGCAGGGATTTCTGGAAGGCGGGCAGAAGTCCAGCAGAATGCCAGGTGACTAAAAATCCACCAATGCAAAGGTGGGATGTACTTCATCTTCCTTTTTTTTTTTTTTAATTTTTCTATTTGGCATCTTTTTTTTTTTTTTTTTAAGTTTTACTTATTTATTTTGAGGGAAGGGGGAGTGGGGGAGGAGCAGAGGGAAAGGGAGAGAGAGAATCCCAAGCAGGCTCCACGCTGTCAGTGCAGAGCCTGACGCGGGGCTCGAACCCACAAACCGCGAGATCGTGACCTGAGCAGAGATCAAGAGTCGGATGCTTAGCCAGCTGAGCCCCCCAGGCACCCCACGTACTTCATCTCTTGGCAAGCCAGGAATTGCATGTGCTACTCTGAGAGCATCTGGCTTAGGTCCAGTTCAGGTACTGGCACAAAATAGGTAACTTGATAGAATCACCACAGAGACTGTCCAGGGTGGGATGGCTGATGCCTGTGATGTCGGAAGACGGGTCAGGATCCAGGGCTCAGGCCTCTCCCGTCCCTCCTCAGTGTGGTGATTGTCCGTGGGGAGTGCACGGGGGCGGGTGCGAATATGCTCATTATTGGAGGATTCCAGCCAGGTAGGCGCGGTTAACCCGTGAGGAGGGCGTCCCTTATGGAGCCGCGTGTAGATGTTCTGCAAGAGAACTGGGCGGGGGGAATCGCAGGAGTGTTCCGGAGGGGGCTGCCTTCCCTGGCGGTCAGCAGAGGGAAGTAGAGGTGAGCAGAGGTCTGCAGGGCCCGTGGATGTTGGAGGGCTGGAGAGGGAGGGTAGATCGGTGCACAGGGAAGGCCCACGTGTAGAAGCTCTTGGGTGTAGGATGTGTTGTGGGCCTTTGCCAACGACGGAGAGGCCTGTGGTGTGAGAGGGAGCTGTGCCGTGCGGGCCCATGGGCAGTGTAAGCCCCACCGAGGGCTTTGACGGTCACCTTCAGAGTTGGCGGTGCACCCGAGGGTCTTAAGGGAGGAATACGGTCTAGTTTGCATCTGAGAGTGAGCACTGTGATGGCCTTGTGGGGAGTGGTTTGGAGGGGCCCTGGGAACAGCGGAGAAACCCGTGAGGAGCCACTGTGTAGATGGAGGGAAGGGTTTTGGGGGATGAGGTGGTGAGTGTGGGAGGAGAGGGACCCGGCAGGTCCTGGTCGGCCGTGCCGACTGGCTGTGGTGGCCAAGGGAGAAGCTCGCTCGGGGATGACTCCCAGATCTCAGGCTTGAATGACTGGTAGACGTTCTGGAGGCTGTTCGTCAAGATGAAGAAGCCAAGGTGAGCATGGCGTTTGGGGCACGGCGTTTGGGGCACGTTTCCCTTCTGGAAACGAGCCTGTGGCACCCAGAGTCCTGCAAGAGAGGCAGATAAAGGGGATGCCCTTTCTGACCGAGAACCCGTCACTGTGCGTCAGCCTTTGACTGAAGGCAGGGAGTAGACTTTTGCCTGATCCCTGCAGGAGGTGACGGAAGCGAGGATCTTCAAAGGTTGTTAGCTCAGCAGGTGCATGAGGTTCAGGCCTGGGAGCCGACTTCCTGAAGGTGAGTGGGAAGCCTCTCTTCCGTTTACACGGATAGGGGGGCCAACTTGACCGCAGTTGAGCGCAAGTTGAGCGGATGTGAGGACCCGCCTCCAGCAGGGGGGGAGGGACTGGTCTCAGACCGTGTCTTACACTTTCTCCATCTCAAGATATTCAGGTGGACTGAAGTTCGTTGGGGAGGGGGTGATGTTCGTGCCTGAGACGGGTTGTTGCGAGGCCAGACTGGGACATTGTATTCGCTTGGCCGTCGGGTTTTGCCCCGAGGAATGGGCTTTCTGACCTGACCGCTCTCCGGCTTCCTTGGTGTTGCGGTTCTGCTTTTTGCCTCACGTTCTTGGTGTGAATATCTAGGTGTTGCCTAGATGTGGACTTGAACCCTACCTCGCGTGTCCTTTTCATCTCTTTGACCCTAAGGGACATCTGTAGTGGGGAATTTGACCCTGAGCTACACCTCTCGTAGGTTCCCTCCTCCGGACAGATTGTCAGGAGGGCGGATTTGTGACTTCGTGGGACTGGGAAGGAAGGCAGACCAGTGAGTGCGTGCGTGGTGTGAATTGAGTGTCGGAGGCTAGTATGCGCGATGACCACGTGGGTGTGAGCATGCGTGCACCGTACTTGTGTGAAGGTGTGTGGTGTGTGCACGGGTGGTGGCTGATGGAGCGAAGGAGGCAAGTGGGGACCAGTCCCCTCTGGGCATTCGTGTTCACGCGCAGGTGTGGATCTCACCAGGCAGCGTGCCCTCCTGGTGTGGCAGGGATCAGCGTGGGAAGACGGGCCGGGTCTCCGGGCTCACCTGTAACGAGCGGCCTTGCTCGGTCTCGAGGTTCTGGCTGTCACGTGACGGCTGAGGGAACACGAGCCCCTGGAGGTCTGACTGCTTGGAGTTCAGGGAAGGAACCCTCGGGCCCTCAGGGTCTGGGACAGGGAGGGGGAAACTGCCCCTGGCTGGGGGCTCTGCGAAGATGGGTGGTCACAAGCCCGGGCTGCCGCTCTGGGCCGTGGAGGTCACGGACACGTTGCCTGATGCTGTGGGGTCCCAGCAGCGCTCAGAGGGGGGAGAAGCGCCATCCATATTTAAATCTGACCACACTCTTAGATCTAGGGGGCCTCATTCACCCAAGTGGGTTGCCAGACGCTTTTTCAACAGGTACATGGCTTCCCGCCCGCCGTGGTGGGGCTGTCCGCCTTGGGCCCACAATGCAATGGGCTCACAACTCACCACTGGCTGCTGGGACTGTGCTCCTCAGGGGATTAGCACAAACTGGATCAATCCTAGGGGAAACCTTTGGCAGTTTTTAGCTCTTGGAACCTTGCTTCCGGGGGCTAGCCTTCACTCTAAAATTTCAGAAAGAACCTTCTATTCCTATATAACCACAGGAAACACATTTCTTACAGGGATGACTACCTTCTTCTTTTAATGCCATTTTTGCCCAGGCAGACTTTTAAGTTATTTAGAAGCTGTTGACTTCTAGGATATCCCCCAGGCTATTTTATATAATTTGAATGAAAAAAGGGAAGGCGTACCCCAATATCAGTATGGAATGGGATGGTGTATGTGAAGGAACCAATACATGTGCTTAAAAACGTCCCCCCGCTTTTCTTGTTTCATCCTACTTAGGAATGATCTCAAGATCTTTCTGTACTTTTGGTCCAGCAGTCCTGCTTGTAGAAGCCCCGCCTACAGAGCTCTGGATGAGCTCGGAGGTATATAGATGAGGATGTAATGGAAGCAGTGTTGTTAATAGTGACATATGTAGGGTTGGTGGCCACCACACGTAACGTGACTGACTTGTACGCATTGGCAGAGAAAAACGTCCAAGTTGTGTTTAATGTTAAAAAGTAGGGGCGCCTGGGTGGCTCAGTTGGTTAAGTGTCTGACTCTTGACTTTGGCTCAGGTGACGATCTTACGGTTTTTGAGTTCGAGCCCCGCGTCAGGCTCTGTGCCGATAGCGTGGAGCCTGCTTGGGATCGTCTCCCTCTCTCTCTGCCCCTCCTCTGCTTGCCCCCCCCCCAAAATAAATAAAAATAAAGTTAAAAAAAAAAGTTAAAAAGAAATCAAGTTGCAGGACAGTGCGAAGAGCGAACCTTTTTACGTAAAATAAATTCCTTTGTGTCTACGAATATATGTGCCAATCAGCATATAAAAAGACTATGTCAGACTATCAATGGGCTGGGGGGGGGTTATTTTGCTCAGCATATTTCTACATTATTAGAATAGTATACCGTGAGGAAGTATCCATGTATTAAACATTAACCTGGATGTCATTTTGTGTTTTGAAACGTTTCAGAAGATTAAGTTTTCTTTTTTCTTTTTTAGAAGATTCAAATTTTAAATAAAACATAATTAGCGTGTTCCTGTCCTCCAGTTAGGAACTTAATCAAGTGTGTGAGGTCCCTATAACATCGAGGGCTAACTCAATGAAGTGCCGTTAACTGAATAAAGCACATATTCCTTTTTTTTGAAGGGGGGGGGTCTGCTTTACTATAAGCAAAGCATATCTGTGTAAGACGTTTTCTACCTCCTCGCATTTGATCTTTACTGGAATCCCATTTTACAGGTGAGGAAATTGAGACAAAGGCCAAGCGCCTCCCCCCAAAGATAGCGGTTCGGAGATTCATCCCACCCAAGTCTTTCTGATTCAGGAACCTGCTTGAACACCATGCTTGGCCTCATTTCTGATGAGGAGCAGGATGACAAAGGAAGCATTGGTTTCTTGCGTTGATTTTTATAAAGTTAGAAGTAGGCCCCGAATGAGACACCCCTTTGGCTCTTGGTTTCCTCCTCCACAAAATAGGGAGCTTAACTGGATCTCCTTCCCTCCGCTAACATTCTGTGACCGGGGTCCCTTGCTGTCCCTCTTCTCAATGAGTGCTTGCTTCCTCCCCGCAGTACGTCGGAAGCCTGGATGTGCCGAGGCCCAATAGCAGAGTGGAGATCGTGGCGGCCATGCGCCGGATACGGGTGAGTGGCCGGAGGTGGGCTGGGTGGGGTCAACTCGAGCATCTTAGCTGGTGCCCTTTTAGATGTGCTGGGGGTACCGAGGTGGGAGGCTGCGCCCACCGCCAACCGCAGACCCCTCTCCCTCCACTCTCCAGGGAAGCTGTTCTGAGTCGGGTGGTTCATCTGGATTAAAGGCCAAGGATTAAATTGATGTGGTGGCTGGAGGGACACTATCCCCCCCACTCTTCCGCTGCCCCGCTGCTCCTGAAACGGAGATGCAGGTGCCCTTGAGGGTGTGTGGGGTCCACTGGGGAGTGAGAGAGAATGCTGACGTATCTTTTTAATTCGGATTTTAGGGGAAATGTCTGATAATTAGCTGTTAATTGACTCAAAAACACTAAAAAGGTAAAGCAATTTATTGTGGTATGTAAAAAGGTTGACTTGAATTTTTAAGAACAAATGTGGGATTTCAGCATAATTTCCTCGATCAGTTGCTTTGGGTCCCGAAAGGGTGTGTGTGCGTTCTCTTGTGGCATTTCGGGCACCTTCTAGCAGCGTCTGGAAAACATTCCAGCCCGTTGCTTTCCGACTCTGGTACACAGAGCAGAGACTGAACAAAAACGAAGCTGCCTTCTGATCACCGTGAAGGAATTTGTCTGTGTGCTCTGCATTGACATAGGAGCTACTTGAAATTTTGTACATTTCGAAGGTAGGTTAAGCGATTGGTCAAATGGCATTGCATAACTTTTTGGAGAGAATGGGTGTCGGAGGTGGCTGGATTGGTCATCCAGGATGCAGCCTGTTTTGGGCTCTTTGTTTGCAGAAGCATCTACCACCTAAATGGAAAACGTGTAGCAGATGTTGGGAGCTCCAGTTGGCTGTTCACCAATTTTACTTCCAAACAATTCCTCTCCCCTGCAGAAACCTCAGGTCGGGGACAGCAGATTTGGGAAGAAAATTAGCATGTTTGTCCCTGTTTATCTGAGCAGTTCGTTAGCCTATTAAAATAACTTTTTCAGGGCGCCTGGGTGGCTCAGTCGGTTAAGCGTCTGGCTCTTCTTGATTTCGGCTCAGGTCATGATCTCACGGTTTGTGAGTTTGAGCCCCGCATTGAGCTTCCAGAACAGAGCCTGCTTGCGATTCTTTCTCTCTCTCTGCCCCTTCCCTGCTGGTGCATGCTCTCTCTCAAAACGTTAAAAACAACAACAACAACAACAACAAACCACGTTTTCACTGCCTTGATCTTCCCAATTCTTCAGCATTTTTTATTAAGTTGTATTTGTTGAAACTATCAAAAAAACAATGCTGTTTTTCATGGTTGTGGGAATGAGTTGCTTCAAAGCACCTTCATGTGGGTTCATTTGATGTCCACAGCAAGCTGTCGAGGGGGGGGTCCTGTTACCCTCATTTTTTTTTTTTT